TGATTGGAACCTCCTTTGTGTGTGGTTTCCAATTGAATAATAAGAGTTTATATTATACTTGTTTGACATACCATTAGTAGATCCTCTAATCTTGACATTTGTTATTATCACTATTTAATCCTTACATTAATCTTTCATCTCAAAGTTTTCATCAATTTTTTCTTCTTCTTCTTCTTCTTTATTATTATTGTTGTTGTTGTTGTGTGTTGTGTTAGTGTTATCTATAATTTATATAATTAACCTCCTTGTAGTTCAACTCCAGTCTTGTCGGGTTATTTATTACTTCGACACTCCTGCAGTTGGGAGAAGACATCAGTATTTTGATCATGTCAACCGGTATTCTGGCGTAGCTTTTTATGGATGCTAGAGTTGTTTTTATTTAAGTTATAATAAAAGAACGTAGTTAATGCATTAGAATTGACTCCAAGATTATCGTAAAATCTTGAGCAGTTTAACTTTTAAATTCATAAAATCATGAGAAAATCAGGGAAGGAAACATCCGTTATAACCCAGTTGACTTAGCAAGATTAGGTCAAAAATCCGGTTACAATCTGTTGATTTTTTTTAATTAAAACGTATCATTTTAATTTGAAAAAAATAACTTGGATGATCTAGTCAAAACCTGAAATTTAGGATTTAAATCGGGCTAATTATCTATCTAAGTTTAAAAACTATGATAATATAATTTGATTTAAATCAAGTAAATTTAAACATGAACCCTAGTAAACCCAATAAAAAACCTAATAAAAAATAATAGTCATGATTAAGAAGAGGAAGAACTACTCATATTTAATTGTACTACCATAATTCTCTCTTTATATATTTAAAAAAACCATTTCAATTATTTGTTTTAGTTTAGTTTTTTTTTTTTGTAAAACTTGCTTGATAATATTTTGAATGTCCAAGTTTCTCTCACTTGTAAATAATTGTAATTTACTTTTTCTTATATTAATATTAATATAAATCTTGATTATATCCAAATAACATTGGTTGTAAAAGTAAAAAAGGAAAAAAAATGTAATTCCTCGTAATTGCAATATTTTTTAAAAGAAAAATAAAATTACTCAAGAATTATAGAAAGTAACAAGAATATAAATATGCAATAATAAATATTGAATTTTAAAAAAAAATGTCAAAAATATATTTTAGGAACAAAATGTTTGCGGAAAGAGTTATATAATAAAATTTATTGTAAAGCATTTCAAAGAAAAAATAAAAATAAAAAAATTATATGAATTATAGAAATTAACAAGAATAAAAACATGATAATAAATCTTAATCTTTTTTAAAAAAAATAAAAAAATTCTAGAAAAAATATGTGGAAAAAATTATAGAATAAAAAAAAATTCAAATGTATTGTTAGATTTGTATAGGAAAAGATAATAAGATATATAAACTTAAGAAGAAGAAAAACATGAAAACTGGTGTCATAAAAATATCCCTCTTGATTTGTCTTTCGAAAACGAAATTATCCCTTCCAAAAAGCTATTTAATTATTATGACGTGGAGCGACATGATTGGATAAAAATAGGCCTATCTATCCAGCAGGTCGAATACTGCCATGGAGCCATTGGTTTCCATTAGCGAAAGATAGAGAAAAGAGAGAAAGAAAGAGAAGGATGATTCTGGTTTCGCCGGATTGCTTCTCTACTTCTTATTCATCGATGCTGTTGTCTCGCAATCCCATGCTCTCCTCTCATCCCTGCTTCACAGTAAGAAGACGGACGTTCCGAACGAAGACGAGTCGACGACTCTGTGTAGCGAGTAGTCTGATTACAAGCCCTGAGTCATTCGAAGTTGGGAGACTCATTGGCAGCTACGGCTTCATGAACATTACGAGGTGTACATATGTATAGTTATGCTCTCTTTTTTCTTTTTTTTCCTTAATACAATTAATCAGTTCTAAATGGAATTGCATTTGTTTTCAGCTATTCGGCAGGAGGAATGGATTTTGAATATTCAGGTGGACAGCTGAAACTTCAAGATGTAGGAGAAGGCAGCGTGAAGATCAGGTGCGCTTTTATTTTATTTTAATTTATTTAATCACAAGTATAACTAAGGGTTTGCATGTTGCTCTGATTTGTAGTAACTATTATATATATTCATGGCAGTTATTTTTCAGGCTTTACGAAGGAAGAATAGCGCAGGGTTCACTTAGAGGCACTCCCGTTGTTTTCAAGGTGATTTGTCTTTAAATACTAGCAAGTGAATCATATACCGAGTAATATATGCTTTCCGACTTAAATCAATGCACATCTTCTAATATTTATTGTCATTCACTCGGTTGTGGTAAGGATCTAGCAGTGTATTATAATATTTTGCCAGGGGCTGAATATGTTATTCCCATTTCACGAGTTAATTAATGATTAAAGGAGAAGAGTGTAGCTGAACCTATATTTTCTTTTCTTTTCAAATCCTAATTTATTAAGGAATTTAACAACAACATTTACTAAATGTCCCCCTGAATCGAGAGCAGTTGAAAATTATAGCGACTGTGCCATCTTGAATTTGACATTTCTCTCTTCCCAGTTATCTTTGATCTTCCTTTTTCTCCTTGTGGAACTTGAATGGATGTTGTTGACCCGTCACATTGCAAAGTTTTTTTCTTTTCATGCCGAGATTGCTGGTTATGAAGGTATATCCTGGACAGCGAGCTGGTGGCATAGAAGCTGATATGATGGCTGCAAATGAGCTCAATGCCCATGCTATACTTCAGGTTGGATATTGAAGGCTTTTCAAATATTAGCGACATGTTAATTTCTTTTTTATATACACCATGGAAGGTCTTTTCATGTACATCTTTCACAGAGCAGTTCAAAAGGTGCATGTCAGAATCTCCTGATGCTTGTTGGAGGATTTGAGACAAAAACTGGAGAACAGGTTTGTTATACCAGGTCAAATAAGAAAAACTAGTCATGGTTGTTTCGGGCATTTCCTTATACGATCAAAAATTGATGAAATTAATGTATACAGTGGCTGGCTTTTCGTAATGGCGGGAAATATAGTGCAGCAGACTATGCAAAAGTTACTAGCGAAAAAATTTCAAAAAGCATTTCGACCAAGGAAAACTCCTGGAATCATTTTGAACGAGAACAAAAAATAAAGCGCAGAAGATATTTTGTTATCAAGCTACTTCAAGGGGCTATTACTGGTCTAGCCTTCATGCATTCCCATGACAGATTGCACCAGAGTCTTGGACCATCTTCTGTTGTTCTCAAGTATGATCATAGATTTTCATGTTTCCTGTTTTAACTGTTACTGTCATCTTTGTCTGCTTACTGATATTTTACACAACGTTTTTCTTGAATAATGGCAGCACTATAGCAGAGAGAGAGGCTCCTTATTTAGTTCCACGACTTCGAGATCTAGCCTTTTCTGTTGATATGAGGTGCTCTTAAAATTCCTTATCTTGCAATTACTTCTCAGCAGGGTTTTGTTTTCAACTTGAAATGTTATCTGTAGACAAAACTCATTGTCCTTGACATTTAGAAACAGATCATATAAGTGATTCCTCTACATGCAACAACATTGTGGGCAAGCTCTTTGAAACAAACGTGGTTTAGTGAACCACAACTGAATGAATTCAAACATGTCAAAAAAATAAAACAGAGAGACAGAGAGAGAGAGAGAGAGAGAGAGAGAGAGAGAGAGAGAGAGAGAGAGAGAGAGAGAGAGAGAGAGAGAGAGAGAGTGAGAGAAGGAATTAATCGCAGTTGCTATGTTCTTTGTTCTGTGATTGTAAATCTTGTGTAAGCTGTAACATGTATACGTGTTGACCTGTATGATAGCATGTAGCACATTGGTTCCTTTTATTTTAGTAACAAGGATAAGCTCAATTTCTCACCCTTTTTTCACCGCTATAATATTTTGTGATTAGTGAGAATGTAATAAGCTAATCATTTAAATCTAGTGCTTCGTGAAGGAAGGAATTTAACAGTCAACTGATAATCAACCGGTTGTTCCGTCGCACTCAGATTTCTTATTATTAATATTATTATTCACATAGATGCATACTGGCCTTCAGACAATCTATCTGCAGACTCTTGCAGAAAGGGATGGAGTTAATCATCAATCTCATCATACAATATCCCCAATCCAATGAGGATCTGGTTTTCCCCAACTATCTCCCAGATGTTTACCCAGATGGCAAACCGACGAGGATCTGGTTTTCCCCAACTGTCTCCCAAATGTCTCCCCTGGTGGCAAACCAAGTTACGGAGGTGTTAAAGGTTTTCTTACTTTCAGGAATAGAAATTCGCAAAAAAACATTTAGGGATTTTCTTCGTGAATTGAAGGCAGACCAAATGATGTACACTTAAGAGAGAAGGAACTTAATATCATTGTAGATTCTTGTATGTGCCATCCATGAATCTTAATGCTTTTAAGGAGATCTCTTACTTGTGACTGTAAAAGGCTTCTAGATATTGCAGTGTAGTTTCACAGGTTTGAACACATTAGCGCATTTTCACTTCCAAACATGACTTATCAGGATTTCAAATTTTGAAGATGGCCTTGGGACATTATCAGAAGGACTTTGGAGAAGGGCAATTGCTGCTGGAGCCTCCACACCTATGGAGAAACGAGCCTTTGGAATTGCAGATGACATGTACTGTTTCAGAACTTGATAGTTCTATAATTAGTTTTTTCAGCTCTTTAGCTCCTTTGACCAATTTCTTTTCTGGTCCTACATAGATATGAAGCTGGTCTTCTTCTTGCATACTTGGCTTTTGTTCCATTTTGTGAAGCAGGCATTGTGGATTCTCTTTCTTTGCAAGTAAGCAGAAATATGACTCCCTCTGATTAATTATTATATCATTTGTAGGGAGGCGTTTCTCTTCATCTACGTGATATAAGCAAGTCCAGAGCACCCAAAATCCCGAGCACATAATGCCTTTATACAACTTCATATTCTTCAGAATGTGTTTTCCTGACACTAATAATTTATGCATGAACTTGCAGAGGCTTTTAGAGAACACTTTCCGACTTGATCTTGAAGCTATGAGAGAGTAAGATGATTTTTGTACCTTATTTTGACTTGCTTAAAGTCCATTAGCAAGTGCATGCATAAGATGAATTTGAGATTATAGGAGTTTAAAAGGTAAGAATCAGATACATTTATAAGCACACTTGGTTTGACTGAGCTTGACTTGGAGTTATGTTATGGTCTTATGCATCAGAACTTGGCTGCTTCTTATCTAGTTGAGTCCATGCGTGGATTATGATGCAGATGATACTTGAACATTTAGATTCTACAAGAGCTACAGGCACATTTTAGCAGATTCTTTCTTATTGGGGATCTATCTTCTACACTATGATTTTTCAAATATAGGATGAAATCCAAATGAAAAAGTAATTTGTATGCCAAAGGGAACAACAAATAATTCTCAGTTTGGCTCTGAGCAGAACCTCAAAGACTCTGCTTCCCGTAGAACATGACGAAGATAAAATGCAAAGTAAAAACGAAACTCTACATTATATCCAAAATTCATGAAGTTAACTTGTATGTTTTTCACACATACTTGAATACTAAGATTCCTGCAGCTGGTTGTTTGTTTAAACGCTTTTTAAACACTTGTTTTCTACAGTGTATTATTTAACCATGCACTGCATATTTTTATTTAATATTTAATTGATTGCTTAAATTTTAATAAAAGAACAAATTTAAATGTCGATTGAATTAATTTCTCGTGTAATATTCAAGATTGAAACAGTATTATTTAAATTTAACAGTTTGATTATGTTTTTGGCATGTCAAACCAAGCACAACGACAATTATTTGGCCAAGAAGTAGACAGTTTCCAATAGATTAGGAACTAAGCTCAAGCTTGTCATGGATCTTGAGGTGTCCAAATGCTAACACACTTGGTTTTTCCTCCTCTGTCTTTGCCCTTTCTGGCACACAGATATTGTTTAGCAGATGATCGTTTGGAAGAAGCTGTGAAGTTTCTGGATCTTGGTGACGGGGCTGGATGGCAATTACTTCAGGTTGAATCAGAGTTTAAAATAAACTACTTTAGTCGTCTATGGTTAATTATGATTTTCTTTCTTGATATGTACAAGCGCTATAATTTAAGATGGTATATATATATATATATATATATATATATATATATATAATAAAGCTATAATGCCCAACATTTGGTCTGCAATAATTCTGTCTCTTTCCGGTGTGCAGGCAATGCTAAATCCAGATTTCCGGAAGAGACCAATCGCAGAAGCCGTGCTTAAGCATCGATTCTTGATCGGGGCTGTTGTTTGAGTGGCGAAGAGCGAGTTAAGTGTACATTATTGTAATTATCAAGAGCAACAATTAAAAAAAGAAAAAGAAAAAAGAAAAGAAGGAGCATTTGCGTCCTCTCATCATAGTATTTCTGCTTTTGTATTGGTAGATGATAACCAAGAGTGATTATTTTTTATATATATAAAGAATTAGCACCTTTAAAAATAAATGGTAAATTAGCACTGCTAAGTCTCTTTTTGAAAATAACATTCTTCATTTAATGTTTGCTAGTGAAAATTGTGATTTCTTAAAAAAAATATTGATATTTTAAAGAAATTATTAAAATAAATGAGTGTAATTTTTAAAATAAGTAAGAGAGAAAAAAAAACAGGAAGAGTAATAAATATTCACTTTTTTTTAACTCATTCTCTTTCATTCTTGAAATATATGCCATCTTATATTAATATTTTTTTAATCTTATACTTGATGGTTATAATTTTTCTTGTTTGATAGTGTTAATTATAATTATTTTTTAAATAATTTTTTATGTTAAAATATATATTAATAATTTTTTTATTTTTTTAAAAATTATTTTTAATATTTAAAAAATTAAAATAATTTGAAAACACTAAAAATATATTAATTTGATGTAAATAAAAAAATTAAAAAATTTAAATTCTTTTAAAAATATTTTAAAAATACAAAAATAAATGGGTCATAAAAATAGTAATTTTTATTATTATAATTATAATTATTATTATTATTTCTTCACTTAGCTCTAACCATCAATGCCAATGATGTTTGTGTTGGAAAGACAAACAACTTTTATCTCATCAGGGGGTGGAGGTCGGAGTACCTGCAACTGCATGATAACTCGGATGTTTGTTTGGTATCGGAGTAATATTTTTTAAAATGTTTTTTTTATTATAAATATATATTAAAATAATATTTTTTTGTTTTTCTATTTTTAATATTAAAATCATTAAAAAGACATGCTGTAACCAAAAAATAAACCCTCGATTCAAGATCCACACAAGGAAATGCAAAATCTTCTTGTTTCACGCAGTATTTTCAAATTGTTATCTAACGCAGATCTCGATTACGGGCTTGGTCAGCCGGCATTTCTACTAAAAATTTCACACGAGTTTTGCAGAATTATTTTCAGTTCTGTTTTTATTTATAAAAATAATTAAATTAAAATTTTATAAAATATAAAACATAAAATTAAAATCAAATTAAAATTAGTTTAGATTAATTATTTTAGTATGATTTGATTATTTTATATTAAAAATTAAAATTCAACCAATCGATTTTAATTATGTGAGGTTTAGTTTGGTCTTTATGATTCGGTTCAATTATTTTATATTAAAATTTAAAATTATATTATTTTTTATATTTTTTAAATTTTCTAATAGGTTTGATTTTGTTTTAGTTTAATTTTTTTTGTTTGATTTTTTTATTTTTTTGATTTGGTTTTATTTTTTTATTTCAAGTTTATAAAATTAAAATCAAACCAAATCAAATATTTTTTTAAATATTTTAATAAATTTAATAATTTTTTTAATAATTTAATTTTTTCAATTTTTTTTATTTTATTTTCTCAACTTAGTCGGCCTTTCAAAGTTTTTCCTTACCCTAAAGTTGTCTCAAAGTCTAAGTCCTCGATAACATTGCCTGTCATGGGAAATGCAAATGTGCAAAACCCGACAGTAAATAATCAGGTCTAACAGGCCTCAGGCGAAAGAGCCGATCCAGAAATACTGGCCTAAAGCCCATTACAAATATATGTCTACTTACTGGCCTTGCTAAAAGATTCTTGCGAATTCCTCCTCTCTCTAGGCTCTAGTACGTTCTTGCTTTCAACATAGTAATAATCAGAATCCAAAACTGCCTGCAGAACCAAGCAGGTAATCCCTTTTATTTTGTTTTTCAACATTAGATTTCATTTGGGTCTTTCGTAAATCTCACTGGAACGTAGCTTTGTATGACTATTTTGCTGTATTAATAGTATTTTTTTCTACTTTCTCATATGAATCAAGATTCTATGAAGAACTATGATTATAATCTAGTTTAAAGTGAATTATATGTGTTGGTTTGTTTCTTTCTGTGGGAATTGCAAGTTTGATATAACAATAACTCATAAGATGACTTGGTCCCTCCTCCCCCTCTCAATTTGGGAATTATGAGTTACGCGAAGATTTGAACTGCCATGATTTCAGCATGGAACACAGCATAAAATCGTAAAATTACAAAATGATAGTGCTGTTAGCCGCCACGTGGCTTATAAATCCATAAAAGAGCTCTTCCAAAGAAGAACCCATTTATGTATTAAAATCCACGATGCCTTGGACTTCAACGTTTTCCTGTTGGTATAAAACAAGTGAATTTTCTGTTGGTTGCTCAAATGATCATAGATAAACAACTTGGAATTTCTTTTTGAGCTACAATTTGCTATTTAACCACAAATGTGCTTGTTGTTCTTTAGATTGGTGATTGTTTTGGTTACAATAATGTCTCGTGTTTATGTTGGGAATTTGGATCCGCGTGTTTCCGAGAGGGATCTCGAAGATGAATTCCGGATGTATGGTGTTCTTCGCAGGTAATATCTTTGGCAGCTTGCATTGTTTTGGCTGATTTGAGTGTTTTAGGCGTGCTGGATATTTGTTTTTTCTTCCACGTTGGTCGCTTTTATTATTGTTAGCGTTTAATTCTTCTCGTTTTCTAAACTTGCTGCAATTACTTTAAAATTGAGGAGTATATTTGTGCGTCATGAATCTGCATATGGATATGTAGCTGCTAGTATTATCACAAGTTGCCAAGGCACTCTCTTGGGCCCCTAAGCTGAGCAATGGGCTACTTTGGTGCCTGAAATGCCTGATGGCAAGGTGTTTAAATCTTTAGGTGCTTGGACTCTCACTGAGGTCATTTTTATTTCTATTTTTACATTGCTATCCTTTTTTAAGCTTTATCTAACTTATCATGGAGAGTTTCAATTGTTAAATTCTGAGAGTTGGGCACTTTAGGATGATGAAAGTTGCTTTATTGTCTTATTTGGTTCATGTCTGTGTGCAATCAAGCTGTTCAAAGCAATTAACGCAAGGTTCCAATCCATGTACATAAACCTAATGCCATGGATGCAAGCTCATACTCTTATTTCCATGTTGCTATGTACTTAATGAATTAAAGTTTGCAGCCTCAGTTCCATTTGTTATTTTCCATTTCAATTACTGTTAACAGTAGTTTAGAATTGCTTTGAATTGAATTAGCCCCGTTGTGAATAATAGAATTTTAGTTTATAAAACTTTGCAACCTAAAGGCTGCACCGCTCTGGCTTTGGTCTAGGAGAGGTCTATAGGATTAATATTAGTCATCCTAATTTAGTAGTTTTCAAAATGAGAGTGGAAACTCTATTTGTACATGAATTATTAGAATAGTGCTTATTTGGACTTGAAAAGATAGAAAGAACAGTTGCAAGACTTCTCTGCAGGCTTCTACTGAATGTACATTTAACTTTAATTGACCAAAGTCCTCTTAGTTGAGGCTGGCACATAGACCCGTCAACACTAGCTAATGTCATTAGGTACATAAAATATATATTTGAAAAGTGCTTATTTTATTTGGACTTGAAAAGATAAAAAGAACAGTAACTATTGCTTTACTGGCTTCTACTCAACTTACATTTAACTTTAATTGACCAAATTCCTCAGTTGAGGCAGGCACTTAGAACCCACAACACTAGCTAACATCATTAGGTGGGTTGGATGCTGTTACTAGCTTGTGCTATTTAACCTAACAGGAAACCATGCTACAGGGTGTTTGAAGTGTTCATGAAATCCTCTATTCTCTCTGCATCTCTCCTTCTGTGTTCCTTGGCTTCCTTTTCTCTTCTCTTCATATTTTTTCTCCGTGATACTTTCTTTCTTTAAATGATTGTTCATTCTTCCTTTATTCTTAATTTTTATCTTACATACTACCCCTGTAAGAGCCAGTTGTAAAATGTCAACAAACTGGGTTCTTTAGATGAGAACATTTCCACACTAAACAAGCAAGTCCAGTCAGCCAATTTCTTAAAAGCATTTTACATCAGATCGATTAATGGAGCCATCCTAAGTTTTTAGTTGGTTTAATTTATAGTTTATTTAAGGTATTCTTGACACTTGTATTAAATGCATGGTCATCTACAAATGATATCGACATCAATATTATTTTTATTTATACTAACCATATCTATTATTTTCATTGTTTGATAACTTTTAAGATTTCAAGTCCTGCATTTAACTCTGTGTTTGGATTGTATATAGCGATCTGAATAGTAGTTATGAGGTGTCATTTGGACTGTATATAGTAATCTGAATAGAAGTTATGAGGTGTTATCTGTGTATCACAAGAGTATGTGAGTGTATGGAACTGAATTGAATTTTGTGTGCCTAGGGGAAGTATTTCATAGGTACAGGGAAGTGTGAAGTATCCATACTTGATATGGCATGATATGGATACATGACAGGTTTGATAAATTCATGCTAGGATGTCATTTTAGGGGATTTGAACATGTAAAACTCTGTTGATACTTCAGATCCAGCATAAGACCATAATTTGCTAATATGCATTTACAATGTACTAATCCGTAAGTTCTAAAGCATTTTTGTGTAATTCAATCTCCTTTTCTTTTTTTCAGTGGGTGCATGCTGATTTTTTCGTATTTTATAAACTAGACCAGGCATAAGTATTCTTTGCTGAAGATAATCTTTGCGAATTGCCATTTGGTTTTAAGTCAGTAATCATTTTTTGTCATTGCCTGAGAAGGACAAGGGTTTTAATTTTTGAACTAAAAAGGTACTGATATGAAAACTCCTTAGAACAAAGGCTTAAGGACTGGTGGCAGGGGTGGAAGTTGGGATATGTCTTTTTGCTTGTTTGTTGCATTTTTCATTGACAACAAGATTTTTCCAATTCTAAATTCTATATAAAAATTCATGCAGTGTCTGGGTTGCTCGAAGGCCACCAGGATATGCATTTGTTGAGTTTGATGATCGCAGGGATGCTATAGATGCAATTCGCGCATTGGATGGTTTGTATATTTTTGTTTCCTGTCATTTGTTACGAATACAGGCCCCTTTTCTTTAATGAAAATTTTAATTTATTATGATGTTTCCCATCTCTTGTTTGATATGATTCCTGCTTTTTATTTATGATTTATATTTCTTATGCTATTTGTTGGCTCTTCTTATCCTCAGTGTTGACTGCTAT